ATACACCATGGTGAGTTCTAAGAGGTGTTCTTTGAAGCTCTTAGGTGTTCATTGGTGTTCATTTGTGTTCTTTGGTAGTCCTTTTTGGAGCTGTTGGTTGGAATCTGCAATGTTTTTTAATGTCATTTGGTGATCCATACACTCCTTGCCTACATTTCATGGGAGATATTCCTTGTGTTCTTCAATGTGTGTTGGTATTCTTCAGTGTTCTTAGGTGTTTTTCTGTTTAATCAGAGTTCCCTAACTTCTGGGGGCTGCTGTTTGGTGTTATTCAGGGCTCATCAGTGAGGTATTCTTTGGTGTTCTTTAGTGTTCTGTGGGGTTCTTTTCATTCCAGGGGGATTTCTGGCTTCTTTAGATTCTAGGAAAGTTTTCTGGTTCTTCACTGACTATTGCCATCCCTTACCATAGTCATTTCCAGGACCGCCGACAGGGGGGCTAGCCAGGGCAACGACTCCAGTGCCTTGGGGCCTGTAAAAATTTACAGTAGTCATTTATTTGAGCCAAGAACAACTATGTATTTATACTAAAACATTACAGTAGTTAACGTTAACAAGATTTTGCTGTTATTGATAAAATGAAAATAAGGAAGTGGTTAATAAAATGTCCTCAGTCTTCTGCCAAACTAGCGATGTTTATGTGATATTTGTAACATATTTTTGATTGCAAGTTCTTGATTGTAAAGTCGAGTAACATACAGTTTGTATTAACATAAAAGTTTAAGGAAAAATGGGCGTTTCCTATTTGAAAAAGGCATTTCCCACCTAAAAAGGATGTGGCCCTGAGGGCCTGGCCCTGTTCTTTGCCCCAGGGCCATGACAGCCTGACGGTGGCCCTAGTCATTTCAAAGGACAATTGTTCTTTGGTGTTGCTTATTTTTAGTGTGTTTGAATGTTCATAGTTTTCTTCAGTCTTCCTTATTGTTTTGAGTCTTTTTTATGTTCTTTTGTGTCCTTCCCTGTTGTTCATATCAACATTTATTAAATATTTTAAAATTAAGCCATCAGTTATAAATAACATAGAGACATTGCAAATGCTATCTCTTTATGCATTGCTGATGTTCCTTTTTTAACATAAAGACAGCTTTGTCTTAATTCTTTTTTGATATTGTGATATATATTTTAATTTTGATAATGGTACTTGTAATTTCTGTGACAACATTTTTTCTATGTTCTTTAGCATGTTTTGGTGTTTCTTAGTGTTCCATACATTTCTTCTGTATTATGCAACATTTTTCTGCATTTGGTAATGTTACACTACTGCATATTTGTCAGTGTTCTCTTGGCTTCCTCTTCATCTTTTTCTTGTAGATCTATGGTGATATGTTCATACTTTTGCTAAATGTTCTTGATATCACATGAGGTTTTTGTGATAGTATAGTTATTTCTTATCTATGTCTTTTTAGTTATTTTTGTATTTATCTGTTTTGTAGTAGTTTCTTTTAATGTTTCTTTTATTATTGGGCTACACCAATTTTATTTGTTGCTTCTCAGATTTGCTGCTTCAGTGTTTTGCACATGGGGGAAATTAAAGCCGGACTAGAAATTACTACAAGTTTTGCTTTCGCAAACCTGTAAATATTGCCTCTATCAGATGCACATGCTGCCAGAAACCAGTTAGAGAGCTTCTTTGTAGTCACATGCTGAAGGACAACCAGTCAGGAAGCATTTTATCTTTCAAAACAATGTGGCACCTTAGAGGGTTTTGTAGGGTGCTGGTGTGCGTCACTCTGAACTCTAGAACTAAACTAATCTTATAGTTTTAAAATAGGATTAGTTTAGTTTAGAGTTTACTTGTAAAGTAGTTTATAGAGTATGTAGACAGTAGAGCAGATTTATGTTTTCTTTGTAAAGCTGAAAGTTTGTATGTCAAAGAAGGCAGCAAAAAAACAGTGGAAAGGGCCTCAGCATAGCTAACTATTGTTGTTGTACGGGTTGTTGTTTTTTGGGTACGGGTGTTTGTATTTTTAATATTACTGGCTCATTAAACTTTGGGTTGACATCATACAAAATGAAAATTACAGTGACAGTAGTAAATGTAACATGTAAATTCAGTAAAAAACAATGTTCTTTATTGGAAATTGTAGTAATAGATCAAAAGATGGGATTCATTACATAAAATGTGCCATTAAAAGCGAAAACGAATAAACCTGTTATTCTTTATGTTCTGTAAGCCCAATATTTTCACCTCAGACATTTTTCAATTAATAGAAAAAAAATTCCACCGTTTTTTTTATTTTATTTTATTTTTATTTATTTATTTTATTTTTTTTTATTATTATTTTTTATCTGAGAAGCAACAAATAAAATTGGTGTGGCTTTGGATGTGATTTTGTGTTCATGGATAGTGGTTTGTGGGAATTTATCTGGAACTCAGATTAAATAAAGGGAAATTTCTTGTGGTGTATTATGCTGTCTTTATTTGCATTTGTTTGTCATATTTGAAATAAGAAACTAACTTGTTTTTGAGACCCAGTAGCTGATGTTTCTTTTTAAGTTACTCTAATTCTTAAGTAATAAAGAGTTGATTTCCTTCTCTTGCATTCAGAATGTGTATTCCATTAATGTATTTAATAAAAATCTTTATGGGTGGGGGAAAAAATCCTTCTTTGTTTTATAAAACAAACATAATGTAACAGATTAGAATGAATGAAGAAATAAATTTAAATATAAAGCAAGAAAATGGCTTGAATGCACATTTGCACAAGGGGCATGTATGAAACTTGTTCTTTGTAATGAGTATGAAAGTATGAATGAAAATGTGAAGTAGCAAATGTTTCTTTTCAGCTACGTAAGATAAAGAAAATGTTGAAACTGATAAAACAACAAAATGCTCCTTGTATGAGGAAAAGGAAGCAAAATACATTAAAACAATGACAAGTTTATTTTGGTTAAAGTTCTTTTAATCCAATAACACCGAGTAAAAAATTTGGCAAGTGGACATGATTGCAGGTTTATAGGCATACATCGACAGTTTACCATTTACACCCAACTTGTTTATTAGTTTGTGGGCAATATTAAGCACCATAAAAGTTGTATTTTGATATGGTTTACAAAAAATCAAATTTTTGAAGGTATTCCTTCACTTTAGGTACTATTTCCTAAAAGTTTTACCTTAGAAATAATGCCACTACCGTCATAGAAATACAGCCTCTATCTGATGAGCCAAAGGCACTGGAAGGGTGGTGTTGGATACCACCAGCTACTTTGTCCACAACAGCCGTGACATTTATGTACATGCCACCCGGCGAGAAGTTAATTGTGTATTGGGATTACCATTACTGTTTCTTGTAATGAGACATATGAGAGTGAAAATGAGAATGGATTATGATCACAAAAATATTGATAGTGATGATAATTTTAGTAATTGTGGTTATATAGAGATAGTTTTATTTCAGAAACTAGTTGAATATAGACAAACGTTATAAAGATTTTAGAATATAAAAGTATAGTGATATTAAAAGAAATGTAACACTAGACTAACATTTGACAATTAACATTTGTATTAATTAACTTGGAAGCAATCATTAATCTTTTATATGTTTGATTTTTTTCATAATCTATCCTCCTCCTCTTCCTCTTCTTCCTCCTCTTTTTCTTCTTCTCCTCCTGCTCCTCCTCCTCCTCCTCCTCCTCCTCCTCCTCCTCCTCCTCCTTCTCCTCCTCCTCTTTTTCTTCTTCTCCTCCTCCCACCTCCTCCTCCTCCTCTTTTTCTTCTTCCTCTACCTCCTCCTATTCCTCCTCCTCCTCCTCCTCCTCCTCCTCTTCCTCCTTGTCCTCCTCCTCCTCCTCCTCACTCCTCCTCCTCCTCCTCCTCCTCCTCCTCCTCCTCCTCCTTCCTCTCTTTCACCTCCTCTTTCACTCTCTCCTCCTCTTCCTCCTCCTCCACTTCCTCTTTTCCTCCTCCTCCACCTCTTCTTCTTCTTCTGATTTTTTTTCATAATTTATCCTCCATTTCCTCCTCCTCTTCCTCTTCCTCTTCTTCCTCCTCTTTTTCTTCTTCTCCTGCTCTTCCACCATCACCTCCTCCTTCTCCTCATCTCCTCCTCCTCCTCTCCTCTTTTTCTTCTTCTCCTCCTCCACCTCCTCTTAATCCTCTACTCCTCCTCACCTCCTCCTCTTTTCTCCTCTCCTCCTCTTCCTCCTCCTCCATTTCCTTCTATAACCTCCTCCTCCTCCTCCTCCTCCTCCTCCTCCTCCTCCTCCTCCTCCTCTCTCCTCCTCCTCCTCCTCCTCTCCTCCTCCTCCTTTACCTCCTCTTTCACCTCCTCCTCCTCCTCATCTTCATTCTCCTCCACTTCCTCTTCTCCTCCTCCACCTCTTCTTCTTCTTCTTCTTCTTCTTCTTCTTGTCCTCCTCCTCCTCCTCCATCTCCTCCTCCTCCTCCTAGTCTTCCTCCTCCTCCTTCACCTCCTACTCTTTCTCCTCCTCCACCTCCTCCTAGTCCTCCTCCTCCTCCTCCTCCTCTTCCTCCTCCTCCTCTTCCCTCCTAGTTCTCCTTCTTCTCCATATCCTGTTGCATCTCCTTCTCCTCTTCCTCCCCCTCCTCCTCCTCCTCCTATTCCTCTTCCTCTTCCTCTTCTTTTCCTCCTCCTCCTCTCTCATCCTTCTCTCCTCCTCCTCCTCCTTCCTCCTATTTCTCCTCCTCCTCTTCTCATCCTTCTCCTCCTCCTCCTCCTCCTCCTCCTCCTCCTCCTCCTCCTGTTCCTTCTATTTCTCCTCCTCCTCCTCCTCCTCCTCCTCCTCCTCCTCCTCTTCTTTCTCCATCTTCCATCTCCTCCTTCATCTCCTCTTCCTCCTCCTCCTCCTCCTCCTCCTTTTTTTTTTTATCTTCATAGTTTTTTCATTTATTTTTAGCCCCCTCCATATTGTTTGTCTGTCATTGCAGAGTTGGACTCTCACCCAATAATGAGCTATTTGCACAAAATATTCCTAAAGAATAGAGGTAAGAATGAGGGAGACAGAGACAAAGTGTGATAAAAGAGGTATGAAACAAAGAGTGGCAAATATATGTGTCGAGAAATATAATAATAATATTTTTTTATTATTATTATTGTTATTATTATTTTTTTTTTTTGTTATTTTTATTATATTATTATTATTGTTGTTGTTGTTGTTGTTATTATTATTATTATTATTATTATTATTATTATTATTATTATTATTATTATTATTATTATTATTATTATTATTATTATTATTATTATTATTATTATTATTATTATTAATAATATCATTATTATTATTATTGTTTATTTACTTATTTTTGTTTTTGTTTTTGTTTACGTGTTTGTATTATATTTGTTTATATGTTTTCTTTTGTTTCCTATTTGCTTTGATTTTATTATGTTGTGTCCTCTCTCTTTTCTGTTATGCCTTAAAAGTAATCTTATTCTGATATTTCTGCATGTAAATATCGTCTCCACTTTGTTTTAAACATGCATATGAACACCATTTTTCTCTAACACAAAGGAATTTGAAAGGTTAAATCATAAAGCATCATACCATATAAAGTAATTGATAAAGTAACTTACCATTTTTAGCTAATTAAGCCGTGATTGTGCGAAGTTGATAAGCCAAGCCTAATATTTACAGCTTTCGAGGGTGCAGATGGATCAGTCCAGTGCTGCAGCGGGGACAGTGAAGCTCATCTGTGTTTTGAACTCCTTGAGGACCGGGACTCAGATAAGGGAGTGGCAGCCATGCAACCATTCTCCTGCTTGCCTGCACGAATGGCCATATCACTGAGGTATTTATTTATTTATTTTTATTTTTTTCTTTCTTTCTTTTTTTTTCTTTTTTTGAGGGTTCAGGTGTATATGATTAGTGATGTGTGAATGAACTTGCTTTTTTCTCCCCCTCTCTCTCACTTTGTCTGACTCTTTTTTTTTTTAGATTTTACATTGTGTTTTCACTAAAAGTTTTTTTTAGCTCAGGCAGAGGGCCTAATGATCCTTTATTCTATTAAAATGAAAACTTTTTTTTTGCCAGCACAAAAACATGCATCAACTCGGTGGCATGCCCAGCTGACAGCCACTGCTTAGCCCCATCATTGCGGAATGCCTCACGACTCCTGCAGATTAGCCGGCGAGGCCAGAAGGGGGAGCTGAAGGATGATGTGCTCTACCTAGGGCCTCCAGCGTACCTCTTCCACACTGTGACGCTGACTAGCTACATCCCCAAGTTTTCTTTTGTCCCCCTGACATGGCCTGGTACCCTGGAGACGCTTTGTGATTACATGATCAAGTTTTCAGGTGCTCTGGCAGTCCTGAACATGGTCCCGGTCCTACACCTGGATGGCTATTGGATCTTTGGGGCTATGATTGATCTCTTTTTGGCCTCCAGATGTGACCAAGTGACCAGAAGAATTGTCCATGTCATCATCACAATAATGGGGAGTGTTTTACTATTCTTGAACATTGTGCTAGGCATTTGGAGTATCTTGTAGAAATGATAATTGTGTTCAAGTTAGGCAAATTACTGTGTGTATATATAAATATGCTAGGTCCAGTTTTTATGTGAAGAGTCAGTATCCGTCTCAAGAAAAAAAAGGAAAGCTCTCTAGTTCCCAGTTCTCTGACCAAAAATAAGTACTTTGGTTCTGCCTTTGTTTGTTGAGTTAACATTAGCTATGGATTTTGGAAACTCAAAAAAACATACTCTTAATGTACAAATGTGTATCATCTGACAAAAGTTGTGTAAACTGTGTGGTCTTCAGGAAGTATTTGAGGATTTGTAAGTGAAAGATTTGACTAATGAATGATGAGCTTGTTACTTGGTGTGATTAAATACAAACTAATTAAACGTGTGGGTTGATGAGCAGAACATGATTTTGTGCCATTTTTTGTTTTTTTCTTGTTTTCTTTTTAACTTTTTCTATTGCATAGTTTGTTATTTTTTCTTTCTTTTCTCTTAGCCTATCAGAATAATTGAAATTACAATACTACATGGTAATATTGCTGCTGCTAATATTGAAGTTTCAAATGATAGTGATAATTGTGTATGATTATAATTTTTTTGGAATATGGTGATTATATTCCTGATAAGCATCAGTAAACACCCAAAAAATAACATCGTTAGTGTTTAATTTGAAGAACGATTCAATAAGGAATTATCATGCAGTGTTGAAGAATTATGGTATATCTTATTGTTCTATAAAATTTTATCTATCAAAAATTAGATTTTGTTTGAATATTTTTTGATTTATGTAAAGGGTGATATTTGCCTTTACGTATTATTTATTATTTATTATTTATTATTTATTATTTATTATCTGTTTGCTTTATTATTATTTTAATCTTTTGGATATCTATGTATCTGATTCTGTTGAATTCATTTGTTGAATCGCTGGAATTAAATTTGATTATTGCTTAGCGTCTATGATTTTTGGCAATGTTCCTATTTGAGGAAATGTAGGTATTGGTATCAACTTTTGATTTTTATTGTCACCAGTATGATTATTATTAGAATTATCATATTTGTTATTATTATTGCTTAAACTAGTTTTTTTTTTTCATTATTGATATTATTGTAACTATATGGTTATATTATATTATCGTGAAACTTCAAGTTATTGCTAATAATGATAAGGATATTTATTCTTATGATATTATTATTATTATTTTTATTATTATTATTATTTTTTATTTTTTTTGTTATTATTGTTATTTTTTTATGTTATTATTATTATTATTATTATTATTATTATTATTATTATTATTATTATTATTATTATTATTATTATTATTATTATTTTTATAATTATTATTATTATAGTAATTATTATTAAAATTATTACCAGTCTTGTTATTATTATCATTGTCATTCTATTGTTATTATTATTACTATTATTTTTATTATTATTGTTATTACTATTAGTACCATTTTTTTATTATATTACCATTGTGTTAATTATTAACGTTGTTATGATAATAATGATAGTAATGATAATAATAATGATGATAATAATAATAGAAATAATATTAATTATGATAATTACAATAATTATTATTGTTGTTATTGTTATGATTATTATTATTATTATCATAGTTATTATTATTTTTTTTTTTTATTATTATTATTTTATTATTATTATTATTATTATTATTATTATTATTATTATTGTTATTATTATTTGTATTTTTTTACTATTGTTATTTATCATCATCATCATTATCATTATTACTATTATTATTATTATTATTATTATTATTATTATTATTATTATTATTATTATTATTATTATTATTATTATTATTATTATTATTATTATTATTATTATTATTATCAGTCATTATCATTATTGATATAATTTTTACATTATTATCATTAGCATGATTATGATAATAAGAATAATCATGATAATAATAATGATAGTTATTATTATTATTATTATCATTGTCATTATTATTAATCTTATCATTATTATTATAATAAAGTGATAATGATTGTTATCATTATAACTTTTATTTTTATCATTATTGTTATTGTCATTATTGTTATTACTATAATAATAATAATAATCATTATCATTATTGTTATTATTAGTATTTTTATTATTATTATTATGATTATTATTATTATTATCATTATTATTATTATTATTATTATTATTATTGTTATTATTATTATTGTTATTATTGTTATTTTTTTTATTATTATTATTATTATTATAATTATTATTATTATATATTATTATTATTATTATTACTATTTCTGTTATCATTTTCATTATCATTATCAATATTATTTTTATTATTATTGTTATTATTGTCTTTATTATTATTATTATTATTATTATTATTATTATTATTATTATTATTATTATTATTATTATTATTATTATTATTATTATTATTATTATTATTATTATTATTATCATTATTATTATGTTATTGTTATTATCATTATTGTTATTTTTATTTTATTGTTATTATTGTTATTATTATTATTATTATTATTATTATTATTATTATTATTATTATTATTATTATTATTATTATTATATTATTATTATTATTATTATTATTTTTATTATTATTGATTATTATTATTATATTATTATTATTATTATTATTATTATTATTATTATTATTATTATTATTATTATTATTATTATTATTATTATTATTATTATTATTATTATTATTATTATTATTATTATTATTATTATTATTATTATTATTATTATTATTATTATTATTAATTATTATTATTATTATTATTATTATTATTATTATTATTATTATTATTATTATTATTATTATTAAAGTATTAGAAGTATTAGAAGTATTATTAGTACCATCATCATTATTATTATTATTGTTTTTATTGTTATTATGTTTATGATGATGATGATGATGATTATTATTTTTATATTATTATTATATTTATTATTATTAGTTATTATAATTATTATTAATAGCAGTATTTTTATCATTATTATTTTTTATATGGTGATTGTATTATTATTCTTATTATTGTTATTATTATTTTATTATTATTATTATTATTATTATTATTTATTATTATTATTATAGTTGTTTATTATTGTTGTTGTTATTATTATTTTTATTATTACTATTATGATTATTGTTGTCATTGATTATCATCATTATCAGTGTTATTATTATTATTAGTAGTAGTAGTATTTGTAGAAGTAGTAGTACTTCTACTTCTACTATTACTACTACTACTACTACTACTAGTACTACTACTACTAAAACCACCATTATTATTATTATTATAATTTTCATTATGATGGTCAGCATTATGAGGTATTATTATTATCCCTATTGATATTAACATTGTAATATTTTTTTTATAGTCAAAGGAATTAATGTTATTTTCTAGGAAAATAGATGTTTATTTTTCTGAAAATTGCATCTTAAGTTGTAACATTATGCGTCAGTTGTTTATTGCTCTTTTCATAAACTATTTGATTTTTCTTGTTTTATTGAATCTATTACCATAACCAGTGGTAGTTGTAGTATTTTATCTTCATTATTATCAACATTATAATTATTGTTGAGCCTCATATTTGAAAAGTCTGTGTGTATGGTCATTAGTGCCAGAATATTGTAGGATGCACTGGATAGAAAGGGCCATTATTATTACTAGTAGTAGTAGTAGTGGTGATGCTATCATCATTATTATTATTATTTTATTTATTTATTATTTTTTTTATTATTATTATTGATATTATTACTTATATTATCATGTTATTATGAATATCATGAATACATATGTTATGATATTTTTTTCCACTTTAGTTGCCTATTGTGATTTTTCTTTAAAAAGTGAATGTTAACTGCAAAGGAAAGAATATTACCGATAGTTATTAACGTGTACGTATTCATGTGTATGGATGCTTATTTGCGCTTATGTGCTTCAAAAAGATACTTATTTAATTATTTGCATGTGTTTATTTATTATTTTTTTAACATATTTATAGTTATCGTGAACTGAACATATGTGTGCTCATATGTCTATACCATTATGGTATAACACGAGTATGCTAATACGCACAAGTACGCATGTGCTTATTCAGTTGCATGCACATGCAAATGGACATGAACTTACTCACTAACAGACACACTCACATTCACAAACATGTACAATTATATATATATATATATATATATATATATATATATATATATATATATATATATATATATATATATTCAAATGGACATGAACTTACTCACTAACAGACACACTCACATTCACAAACATGTACAATTATATATATATACATGTACATGTACAGCCACACTCATATGGACAGGCACATGCACAGGCACAGGATATCCACACTTATCCATATTTGCGCGCAACACACACACACACACACACACACACACACACACACACACACACACACACACACACACACACACACACACACACACACACACACACACACACACACACACACACACACACACACACACACACACACACACACACACACACACACAGAGTGTAAATGATTTCCAAAGGAGATATTTTGTTATTTTTCAATCTGTTTGATCTGTGAAAAGTAAACACGGTATTATAAAGACTCTTCTTGTTATAGGGCTGAGAGCACTTATATTTAATAAGATTTGGGTATTTATTGAATATTCAACCTGTACATAAGATATTTTGATGTGGATTTTTGCTGTATTTTTGTTTTTTTTGTGATTTAGGGAGGTGTAATGATTTTAAAAGATTCTTATAGTAGGCTCTTTATAATGAATAAGGCAAAAAATGACAATATTTGATAGCAATAAAAGAAAAAGAAATGTAATATGTTGCTATTTTAAAGTTGCATCTAATTATCTTCTCATATATTCAGTTTAATGTAATGTAAAATATATGCCTAAAATATTGAAATACTAGGAACTGGTATCCTTTTAATTTTATTGTTTTCATTTTTCATGTTTTGAATATCTAAAATGAAGATTTCTAATTAACTTCATGTTATTTGTTATTATACTGATATATGCATTAAAGTGATACTCTAATGATATGTTGTTTATAATGCCTTTAGTTTTAAAGTTCAACTGTGGTCTATAATAATAGAATAATAGAATCACTCTGGGAGATCCTGAGACTGAGAGGAATTCCAACAACGATTATTAGACTAATGGCAAGCCTGTATACTGGTACTGAAAGTGCTGTAAAGTGTGGTGGGGGCATGTCGAGCTTCTTTCCTTTTAGTTCAGGAGTGAGGCAAGGCTGTGTTCTTGCACCAACACTTTTCAATACTTGCATGGACTGGATACTGGGCAGAGCTACTGTTCAAAGTCATTGTGGAGCAATGCTGGGCAATATCAAGGTTACCGACCTTGACTTTGCTGATGATGTTGCTATTCTATCTGAGTCTTTGGAAACTTTAGTGGTGACTCTGGATGCATTTAGCATCCAAGACCAAGGCCCAGGACTTTGGGGACTTGCTAGGAGAACCTGTTCAGTTGGTATGTGCTTGTGGCGAGGACATTGAAGTCACAGAGAGCTTTACATACCTTGGTAGTGTAGTTCATAACACTGGGCTGTCAGACCAGGAAGCCAGCAGACGGATTGGCCTGGCAGCAGAGGTCATGAACTCTCTCAAAAGAGTATGTGGAAATGTTGGTACACCCCAACAAAAGCGATGTTGCCTGGCCATACCTGGGCTTGGAGAGATCTTGCCCTTCTTGCCCTGAAAGGTGGCCCATGTTCAAACAGCCTGGACATAGTTAGGAAAGGGGGGGGGAGGGGATGATTTAGATTCGCTAGTAAAGCAAGGAGCGAGTGTTTGGCTATGTTTTAGTCCCATCGTACCGAGGCTATTGTCTGCACTCCCCTCTCTCCCTCTCTCTCAGTCACCCCCCCTCTCTCTCTTTTTCTCTCTCTCCCTCAACACACATACTGTGTGTAATATTTGTGGGTGTGAATAATGTATGTCTAAATAGCGCCTCTTGGGCCACCAAACATAAATAAATGCTTTGCCCGCATAACTTCGAGGGTAATGGG